CATCTGACTGCTCTACGTACCTCACATAAATGGAATCATACAGCATTTAGCTTATTTCACTTGGCATAAGGTCCTCCAGGTTCATTCATGTTGTCAGAATTTCCTTTTGTTTTAAGGCTATGTATATACACACACACATATGCATGCAAAGGGTCTTCAAAAGTTTATACAAATGAGTACTATGAAAAATCTGCATATGGATTTCAGAAACTTTTTGCACCAAATAAACTTGTACTAACTTCTTATAATGTGTCTGAACAGGGTCTAGTTTGAGGCATGGCAGATAAGACATCAGTTTGAAAAAAGAGCCCCTTTCAGAGCAACATGAATTCTGACAAAATTGAAGGAAGAACAAACATCAAATTTGTGGTGGATAGATCTTGGTTAGGATGGTAAAATGATTGAACTTTATTAAAAGTTTATTGGACAATGACCCCCCATATTAGAAGTTTACAAATGGATAATTCATTTTAAGAAGGGATGAGACAAGTTAAATATGAAGCCCACAGTGGCAGACTATCCACATATATTTGTGAAGAAAAAATTAGTCATATTTCCTATTCCGGTTGAGAAGCACTGATCATTAACAGCAGAAACAATAGTCACTATCATAGATACCTCAACGGGTTCTATTCACACAATTCTGACTAAAAAATTAAACTGGAGGAAAATTTCCATCACTGTGCCCAGATCAGCTGCAGAAAGAGCAGAATTTCACTGGAAATTTTAAACAACTGGGCCCAAGATCATGAGGCACTTCTTTGAAGAACTGTAACAGGAGATGAAACATGGCTTTACCATATGACCCTGAAGACAAAGCAGAAGCAAAGCAATGGCTGGTTGTGAAAGTGGCCTGGTCCAGGCAAAAGCAAACTGGTGAAGAGCAAAGGTCATGCCAGCCATTATCTGGGATGCTCATAGCATTTTGCTTGTTGATTTTCTGGAGGGCTGAAGAGCAATACATTTGCTTATTATGACAGTGTTTTGAAAATTAGCCAAAACTTTGGCAGAAAACTCCTGGGGAAAGCTCACCAGAGAAAATCCTTCTTCACTATAACAAAGCCTTTGCTCACTCTTCTCATCAAACACGGGCAAGTTTGAGAGAGTTTTAATGAGAGAATGATTAGGCATCTACCTTACAGTCCTGATTTGGTTCCCCAGACTTCTTTTTGTTTCTTAATCTTAAAAAATCTTTAAAGGTGGTGCCTGTGGTTTAAAGGAAGAGGGCACCAGCCACATAGATGCGAGGTGGCAGGTTCAAACCCAGCCCTGGCCAAAAACAAACAAACAAAAAACAAAAAAAAACTTTACAGTGCCTCCTGTGGCTCAAAGGAGTAGGGCATCGGCCTCATATGCCGGAGGTAGCGGGTTCAAACCCAGTCCCCGGCCAAAAACTGCAAAAAAAAAAAAAAATCTTTAAAGGGCACCCATTTTCTCCAACAAATAAAGTAAAAGTGTCTGCATTGACTCTCAGTTCTCAGGGATGAACTAAATGACTAGTACCATCACATACAAAAGTGCTTTGAACTTGATGCTGCTTTTGTTGAGAGGTAAAATTTATATTACAAATTTATTATTCATTATACATTTTTATCTTTTAATTCCATTTCCGCGGACCCCTAAAGTTCTCGTGTGTGTGTGTGTACCACATACTTCATTCATGCTTTGATGGACATTTGGGTAACTTCCATCTTTTAGCTACCATTGAACATGGATGTACAAATGTGTCTTTGAGATCCACTTTCAATTTGGGGGACATATACCAAGAAGTGGAAATGCTGGCTCACATAGTAATCCTATTTTTTTGTTGTTGTTGTTTAATTTTCTGAGTAAACACCATACTGTTTCTACAGTGGCTGTACCGTTTTACCTTCTTCCCAACAGTGCACAAGGGTTCCAGCTTCTCCACGTTCTCACCAACACTTCTTATGCTACATGTCTTCTTCAGGTTGAACAGTCGTCTAGTGTATGTTTATGCCATTTGTATTTTGTTTATTAATTTATCAGTTGAAACATGTTTGGTTTTTCCTGCCTTTTGGCTATTGTGAATAATACTGTTAAAAACACTGGCGAACCTGTGTCTCTGCTTTCAGCTTTTGGGGGGTTATATGCTTTAGAGTGGAATTGCTAAGCCGTACGCTAGTTCTACTTCCACTTTTTGAAGATTCAGTGGGCTTCTGCGGGAGGAGTGTGTTCTGGAAGTCAGCACCGGCCACCCCATCAGATACCCCGCAGGAATCCCTGCTCTGCCCAGTGTGCGTGCCTGCCCTCCGGCTACGGCCTTTGCTCTCTGGAGAGCAGTTCTCTGAGCATCCTTCCCGCAGAGGTGCAGGCAGCTGACAGTGAAGCCGGCCCTAGTGTCCTGCGGGGCTCGCCTGCAGGGACAAGGCGTGGGCGGGTCCCAGCGTGTGCTGTGAGGGCGGTGTTCTGGGCAGCAGAGCAGGCTGCCCCAGGTCCTTCGGAAGCTCACCGCGAAGTTGGGCCGTGTCCGCCCACTCTGGCGGCTGCGCCGGGCTGGCAGGGTGAATCGCCGCGGGGTCCAGTGCCCCGGGGCAGGCACAGCCCTGCTATAGGGTACTGCCAGCGCCCGGGAGCCGCAGACCCCTGCTCGGAGCGGGAGCACCCTCGTTCCCGCCCGAGGCGGCCGATCTGGAGCCTGAGCCCGGGGAGCGCGCCGCCTGGCTGGCCCGGCTTCCTCCCGCGTGTTCGCGCAGCCAGCTGCCACCTGGGCGCCCCGACGCTCCGGCCCAGGGCGATCTCCAGCTACCCCCGACGTGCCCCGCTGCTCGCCCTGACCGTGCTCCCCCGGGAGTCTCGAGGGCCCGGCCAGAGCACAGCTCCCCGGGCCCGGGCGCCCCACAGCCACCGGGGGCGGGGACAGTGAGTCCGAGGCGGCCCGAGCGGCGGGTGGCCTGCAGCCGAGCGCAGCTCCCGGGATCTGCCGCTGCAGCTGGAGCACAACTCCCACTCGAGCCGGGAAGGACCCCCACGCAGGATAGGCGGAGGGCGCCAACTTGTCCTCTGCTTGCGGGCTTCTGGAGAAGGCATCTCCTTCCTGGCTCAGGAATGGAGAAATCTGGACCGCGTCCGCTGGGCGACGGGATGCTGCAGGTACTGAGAGCGCCCTCCCGGAGGAGGCTCTAGGACCCCACGCGGGGTGCTGGGGCTTTGAGTGGGGAGGGAGCGACACACGAGCATTTCTTCGGGGGAGTTAGGCTACCTCTCCTCTGTCCCTAGGTGTAGTCACCAAAGCTCCCAGGAGAAAGTTGGGAGCAGCAAACAATTGGTTTATCCCCAGGTCTTTGAAAAGGCTTCCAGGACCAGGAGGACACCGGGTGGGGGTGCAAGTGGGGTTCCTCCCGGAAAGGTAAGACTAAGAAAGAAAAGACCACTGGACAATTTCCCACCAACCCTAAATCTCCTAATGCTCTTCCTCCAGAAGTGTCTATTGTTCTTTATTTTTAAAATCCACTTTGAGCCTCCAGGTAGCACGCCTGCGGGAATACTGCTTCAGAGGTGGCAAGCATCTGAGACACACAGGCCTAGGGCCTGCAAGCAGCAAGGCTTGTCTTCTTGGGGTCATCAAGCCTGCCCCCGCCCTCCCCTTCAGCTCTGGGTTCTGTTTCTCCTCACTGGGCAGAAGGCAGAGGCTGAGAAGCAATGGGGCTGAGTCTCATTGGGGTGCAAAGCGACTTTAACCCTGCCCCCCCACCCCCAAAGACAGGCTCTAGATCCTCCCCTCTCCCTGTCCCAGGAATCTCAGGTTTATCCTTCTCTTCCCTGTGTTCCCTTGTCATTTAGAGTGCTCCAGATCTCAGCCCTCCTCTTACACCTCAGCCCCCAGGACTGATGTCTTCAGGCTCTGGAAGAGACTGCAGGGATAGGGCAGGGGACAGGGCAGGGGACAGGGGCACTTTGGCTCACTTTCTGTTCCAGGAAGGGCTGCTTACACCCCCACCCTCAGCCCCATTATGTGCCATGGTGGTATCTCTGTCAGGATTCTCCTCCCATTCCTTGCAGCTGACCCAGGCAGCCTGAGTACCCAGTGGTAACTCCCTGCAGCTCCAGGGTATAACCCCCTCCCTCTCCAGGGAGCTCTGTGCTGTGCAGACATTATTGATCTCCTTGCGGATGTTGAACCCTGAGTGGTTAAGCTATTTACCTCAGTACACACAAGCAGCCAAGGGAGGATCTACTGGGGGTCCCCTTTCTAATGCATTCATTTAGGCAGGCTGTGAATTTGACCCTGTGGCCTCTGCCTGGGGGTAAGCATTGGTGAACAGCTGTGCCTGGCTTCTAGGATTACAGCAGATTTTGATGTTGGAATGGGGTGAGGGAATGGGGAGGTGGCTGCTCCAAGGACTCCAAGATTATAAGCCAACCTGCTCAAGGAGAGCAGACAGGTTTATATCAAAGTCTTCCCCCCCCACCCAGCCCCACTTCAGTAGTAGTTAGAGCCATTGGTTTTAAGACACTGGAAAGGAGTTAGTGCTACTACAGAATGGGAATGGGACTATTTCACAAGGATAGAGTTCAGGCAGTAAGGACAGTGATTGGAGCAGGTCATTTCTGCTCTCTACAGTCTTCCCTCACTTGCAACTTTGGTTCTTGAGAGCTATGGTTCAACATTTCAGAGTCTTCAGTGAGCAGAAAGGAACTCAGTCAGTGCCAGGTGTCTCTATAGCATTCCACTCTTCCTTAATCGAGTATGTGGTTCTCATTCATTTATTTTCCCTTTTTGCCTCCTTTATCTCTACTCCATCACCCTGTGCTCCCTCAGCAGGTAGCTAATGGGTCTGCTCAGATTACAGGGTGATTTTAAATTTTACTGGGTTCATCCCAACATGCAACCAACTGTTTGTGTGTCTTTCAAAGGCTTAGCATGAAGCTCTGATACTGTATCCCAAAGATACTATAACTCATTGAAGGAGAGCTGAGTATCAGCAGAGAGGGGAGACATCAGTCTTCCAGAGGTTGCCCAGAAGAATTCCCAGCACAGCACCACCTGGCCAGATGGAGGTCACCCCAGGGATCATGGATGAGAATGCCAGCAGCTCCCTTTCTGTGTTTGACCCCTACGGAGCCTCTGCTGCTTCCTTCCCCTTCAACTTCAGCTATGGAGACTATGATATGCCGTTGGATGGAGATGAAGATATGACCAATTCCTCGACTTTCTTTGCTGCCAGGATTGTCATTGGCATGGCCCTGGTGGCTATCATGCTGATCTGTGGCATTGGCAACTTCATCTTTATTGCTGCCTTGGCCCGCTACAAGAAGCTGCGCAACCTTACCAACCTGCTCATTGCCAACCTGGCCATTTCGGACTTTCTGGTGGCCATAGTCTGCTGCCCCTTTGAGATGGACTACTATGTTGTACGCCAGCTTTCCTGGGAGCACGGCCAAGTACTGTGCATCTCTGTCAACTTCCTGCGCACAGTCTCTCTCTACGTCTCCACCAATGCCCTTCTGGCCATCGCCATTGACAGGTGAGCACAGGGGAAGTAGGAGCAACAGGGTTGGTCAGGGAGGAAAGCTTGGAATTGCCCTTCCTTTACTGCAGCTGCAGATTTATAAGAGGTGTCTGTATTCCCCCTGTAGACACCTGGCTGCCTGGGGGACTCAAAGCAAGGACTGAACAATGAGAAGAGTTCCAATTCTCCAGCTCTGGTCAGGCAGGAAGCAGCAGAGCCCCTGGGGGTTGGATGGCAGGACAGCTTTTGATGCCTTCTTCCCCTCTGCTATGGACTTGCTCCTAAATGTTGCACCTGCTAGGTCTAGAGGAGACAGGCAAGAGGAGGTGTTGAGGGACAAGTTTAAATTCCAGGCAGTTACCTCTTTGGTCAACTTGAAAAGCTTGAGGCAGTTTTCTATCTCATTGAGACTTTCTCTACTAAATTATGACCTGCTAATACCAATTGATTTCTAAATAAGATTAATGGATTTGCTTTAGAAAAGAAGAAAAAAGGAAGCATATACTTACTTCATGTTGTTATTGCTGCATTAATCACTTTTCACCCATTTGCATGCAATTGTTCCTAAGACTCACTTCTAGTGATGGCAAATAAAACAAATAAAAATAGCCATTGCATATATATTTTTTTAAACTGAGTCTTTTTATTTAGGATAAACTTGTGCTAATGGGCCAGGGTGGCCTTTTTTTTTCCCATAGGGGATAACTTTGTAAGCTCCTTTGCCCACAGTTGAACTGTCATTATAAAGCATCTTGTTACAGTCTAGAGACAGTTACCCTGGGGGACGGACCAGGCCTCCTTGTACTTGGATCTGAATATCCTGTCTCCCCTATAACCCAGAGAGCCTGAAGCACACATGCTCTCCTTGTTCTGGGGCTGCAGGGCTCAGGGGTAGAGGAGCTGACCTGGCCCTCGCTGTCAGGGCATCCCAGGACAGTGTTCCAGGGAGGAGCACAACTAATAGAATATGTTTTCTGAGGCTATAAGCAGAGTCATCAAGAGTAAGATGACTTGGAAAAGGATAGGATAACCTGAGGAAAGAAATGACTAAGAAGTCTGGCTTTAAAGCCATTGAGGAGTGGAGCCTCTGTCCCCTTTCTCCGAGGAAAGATGTCAGAGAGTTAGAAGCTTAGGCAGCCCTTGGTCTGCCACCCACAGCAGGTACTCAGAGGTGTCATCCTTGCGGAGGGCTACTACTACTCAATCAAGTTTCTCCACCCGAGTCCTGGAGTCCCACAACATTTTTCCACCTAGGCCAGGACCCTGGGTGAAGCTACAGAGGAGCAGGAAGAAAACAGTCAAGCAGAGTATTTGCCTCCAACTTCCCTCCAGAGCTGCAAGAAAATGCTTTAGGGAAAGCTTTGTCTCTGAACTTTTCTGAAAATGGCAGGTGCCACCTTCTCTCTTAGCATGTGAACAGGACAAAGCATCTGGAGTCATTTCCTAAAGTTTCATGCTAGCAAGACATCTCTTTCAGGGGGTGCTCTCAAGTGGAGTAGGCAGGTGCCTCCTGTTGGAGTGGGACCCCACTCCCTAGGTGGGATCCAACTTACCACGTAGGGGTCCACTTATCAAAGGGGTAACAACTGTTGGAGGGAGTAGCTTCAAGGGGGAAGGGAGCTGGGATAAACTCAGGGCATGGGGCTAGTGTGGGCATGTAAGAGGTAATATCTGTGTAAATCAAGCCACTTCCATCTTCTGAATTCCTTCTAGGTTGTATCCTGCTTTCATATCACACTCAGTTTGCCGGAAATACTGCAGGGACTTCTCTTGCAGGATGACCTAACACAATGAAAATTAGAAAGATGAGTTAGGAAACATGCTTTGCACAGTGGGGCCTGTCATCCTTTAGAGTGGGGTTGTGGCTGGAAATCTGCACCCAGGCGTGGGAGGGGAGCACTGTGCACCTGCCTGGGCCGGCGGCGGTCCCGGCTGACTGATCTCTGGCTCCAGAGCATAATGTTCTTACATTGATATTTGTGATCTCTGCTTCAAGTTGTTTTGATTTTTATGTGTTGTTGTCACCTAGTTTCAATTTTGTGGTCTAGGAATTATTGGTTTTTGTCTGTTCTCATGTATTGTTCAAGATTTGATCACTGTTTCAGGTTTGATATGGTTAGTTTGGGGCAACTAGTTTTTCTCTTGGTATAACAGATGCACGTATGGGAGTCAAACTGCTTTTATTTAATGAAATTTCTGTAGAAATAGTGTTAGCAGTTATTCTGTCTGGGTTTAAATTGCTGCTGTACCACCTAATGTGTGTAGAGCCTTATGTTAAGTTATTTAACCTCTTACTGCCTCAGTTTTCTCACCTATCAAATGGGGATAATAGGAAAATCGAATGCAT